GCGTGTCCTTTGCAAGTGGCATCACTCTGGCACTGCCAGGCTTGGTAGAATTAGTCAGGATTTTGTAGGTTTTTTCCTTTATCTGTGGAATGTCAGCTTCCTACATTACATGGCTGATGTGAGCAAAACAAAGGTCTGCCTGCACTGGAAGGGAGCGCGATGGAGACATTCATTTCCCCAGAATAGGTAGTGTAACAAATCAATCCTGACTGCACTGATAAATTGAACTTCAAGCTTGGTGATACTGCTTTTCAGGTCTAATTCAGTGTAAGACACAGAAGGAAGGAAAGGCAAAGGCACTCTTTAGCATTTCATTCTGCAAGGAGCTGCTCCCTGAGCAGAGGAGGAAAAAAAATTTTTTTTTGGTCTTCTTTTTTCAGCACAGCATTGCAACAGTTTTTAAGGAAGGTGACATGAGGTTCACAGGAATATGTGAGGGCGTATGTGCAGAGAAAGAGGTGCAAAAGAACTACTCAGAGATCACTGTCTTCTTGCCAAGCCCCAAACCTTGGGATGGGGTCATAACATGAGCTCCTGGATGCCAACAAGAAAGAAGCATTGCTTGTGGTAAAAATCCAGTTCCCAGCAGTAGGAGGATTACAGAGCAGCAATGCTATGGTATGCAAAGGGAGAAGGACCTCAGGAGGCTGAGGTCAGATCAAATCTTATCTCTTAACAGAGCCCCAGGCTGAACACAGATCACTCTCCCTCGGAACTTGGGAAGTACTTCTTTTCTAAGTAAACTCAAGTCCTGCTCTTGTGTCACCTAGCAGCCCAAGGGGACCTCATCTTTCTCCCCTCGGCACTGTGGCACTATAAATAATAACAAAGGGGATTTTTGCCCTTCAGTTTTCTGAATCTGGATGTAAACATCATACCTTTGTATCACACTCCAACTTTTCACCCTCTTCCACATTGGACCACAGGTTTGCATTGAACCAGAGTCCAGCAGGACTAACTTTAGGAGAAAAGTCTTCACAGCTCTCCATGAAACACTGACCTGAACAGCTCACAGAGGAAATAAAGTAAGACTTTAGGTTTGCAAATTTTGAAATTCCATTTTCTTAATTGAGTCTCCTGGTAGGGTTGTAGAACTGGAGAGGGGGTGATTGAGGACTGGTGGACACTTGCATTTACCAGTGGCTTTGACTCCATGTCCCCAGATAATCTCTTGACCCCCATCACTGCCCCATGCAAAGATCTGCACTAGTTGGACACTTTGCACCCACACTCTGCTCAGTGGACAGTTTTCAGGCACCACCTGCCCCTGGAAACAAACAGGCTTTTCCTTCCAAAAGCTTCAAAAGTTCTCATTTTTATTGTACCACTCCAATGAAAATTTGCCTTTTAGAGGTCCAGAATTACATGTACTGCTTAATAATCAAAACCAAAGTAACATTATTCAGTCCATACAGAGCATCTTGTGGTGTGATCAAAGTCTGCTGAGACAGCTTGGACAGCTATAATAGTGCAGTAGCCACTTGCATGAATAGAATACCTCTCAGCAAAGGATTGCAATATGCTTTTAGGTAAGGCAGAAGTCCTGCTGACCCCACTGTAAAACTGGTAAAAGCCAAGATGTGACCTCAGACAGAGAATTACTCTGCAATGTCTCAACAGCATTTAATTGATTACCCAGAAACAAACACACAGATTGAGTATTTCTGCCTCTCTCAAACCTGGGCCAGCTTGGTGTCTCCATGGCGGTCATCCCTAGTTGCCTAAGGACAAGAGCCCATGATCTTGGGGTGATTTGCCTTGTGGTTACTTGTTCCCAGAGGACAGCTCTTCCCCTTTTGCCTGAAACTGCCACAGCTCTTCATTGTAGCCACAACCTCCACAGCTATGCTTGTCATTCCTGTAAGTCTTAGATCTTTTGGAATCCTGTTAGGCTTGAGAGGAGACCCTGTCCTACTGCCATCTAGACAAAATCCCTGACCATGCAGAATGCATGTGAGAAGTGAGGCTGACTGGTACCTGCTGTACCCCAACTGCACCTTCAACATACTCACCAACTATATCCAGGAAACATGAAACACTTCCAGTTGCGTGTGTGTGTATTTGCAGCAATAAGCTCTGGCAGAAGACTTTGTTTGCAAAGGGTTGATTAGTTCCTTTCAATTTCATCTCAGCCTTATTGTTACAGTATACCTCACCATCCATCTCCTCTTCCCACTCCAGACATTATTTACTATTCTTGCACCTGCCTTTTTCAAAAAGGACTTTTATTAGCAATACTAGTCTCAAGCCACAGTTCCACTTTTCTTTCATTTCTGCTGGAGCAATACCACCCACTGCAAAGCTCAGCATCCGTATAAATGCTGTGGTTACAAACGAATGCATCCTTCAGCAGCATTTCAGACCATTTATTCACAATGCACATTGTAAATGAGGAGTAATATATCTTCAGAATTGCCCAGAAAACATTATTCTGTTAGCAATATAAAAGCTTCACAGTGTCCAAGTAGGTGACCTTGCCAAAAATATTTTATTGTGAGCCAGATAATTCAGTTTGAATTGTACATGGTTTGGTATAATCATTCCAGTAAAGCATTCTTTACAATTCTGTAACAGCAAGTCACATGGCTCAATAAAGTTTATTGCTGCAAATGCTTAGTGATTCATGGCATGGATGAATTCTGTTTCTTTCCTGGATCAAGTAATCAATAGCAAAATAATCTCCCTGCAATTACATTGCTCTGCATTAAAGAGGTATGAAGTAAATAAGTAAAAAATCTGATAGAAAAAACAATGTGCACAACATTAAAATGAACTGCAATTTGAAACTGGGTGTCCTGCACCAGTTTTGCACACAGCCTGTGGCAGAGCTACATTCAGCACACTCCCAGCCTTAAATGTGCAACAAACCCAATTGGGACTGACAGATTTCCCTCCCATCATGTCCAACAGAGCCTGCTGTGAACATTGCACTCACACAGATCCCCCTGGATTCCCATGGGTGCCAGGGACCATCCTTTCCAAAACACGCTGAGAACAGCAGGACCTACACTCCTTCAACCAACGTTTTTGGTTCTTCCAGCACTGCTCCTGCACACAGTAAATCAGTGTTTATAACATCCCCTGCTGAGCTGAGTGCAAATTAAATCAGGCTAATTTACTTTGCACCATCATGTTCAGCTACAAGTCACAAAAGGAAACAGAGATGTGTGTTGAGAGGGGAGCTGCTGATGGAGCCTCCTCAGGAGCCTGGCAGGACATGGAGCCTGTTTGGGAGCCCAGCGGGACACGGAGCCCTCGGCTGCTCCAGGGCCCCGGGGTATCCCTGCTTCCTCCAACCTGCTCTGCTTCACAGACCTGAACCCTGTGACTCCACAGCAGGTTGCTCCCAATAGATGATAGATATATCATCTGTAATAAACAAGTACCAACACAGCCATCTATTTATCTGGTTCTAAGAGTCTTCTCATAAAAACAGGATGAAAATGATATTGCTTAGAAACAGACTGTTCTGGGGAATGAAGTGCATGCTGTTGTTTTTACTGTTTAATGCCTCCTGACTGGGAACACTTATATGCAAAGGAGTTCCTCTATAAATATGCTTATGCTGTTGCTCAGGCCTCAGTGCAGTGGTAAGCACATCCCTGAGCTCAGTCATGCCCATGTTTACTTTCTTATCCACAGTCTACCTCATTCCTGAATCTCACATGCACTCTGAAAAAAATATTTATGAGATTAAGCACCTAAAAAGTCACAAAAAGCCAGAGGGAAGGCTTCCTATGACAGCTTAATATAACTCCTTCCTGCAAAGATATTAGAGTATGGTCTTTCATTATATGTTCATTCCCATTGGAGCTCTGTTTCATTTAGCACCCAGACTCAGACTAGGCTGTGCACTGTAAAAGAGCCTCAGTTGAGCTGTCTGCAGGAATGCAAAAAGGGAAAAAAAAAAAAAAAGAAAAATAAAAAAATCAAACTAGCAACCTGTAACAGGCACTTAGCGTGGAAACTTCCAGCCCAAATAAATGAATGGTAAGAAAGTGCAAAAGGATCCTACAGACAGATGCATCAAGTAACTCTCTCATGGATTTTGATATGAATTGTCCCACTTATACCATGTATACCATGTTCTCTAACACTGTTCACAGCTGTGCACCCAGGTTGCACTATGTAATTAGTTACAACCTACATTTACCTGCATCCTTTAGAAGTACATACACACACACTCACCCTCTATAAAATAAATATCCAAATGTTTTATCAGACAGCTTCTGTATAACCCTACTGAGAATATTCATTCCCTGCCAGTCTCTGGTGACTTAAAAACAATATGGGATCCGTTTACTTTTCCCTGTACTGTACTTTTCAATCTGCAGAGAAAACCTACCACCATTCTGAAATAAATACACAATCATCAACAAACAGCTGGAGGCTCAACTCATCACTTGGTCAAGTCAAATTAGGGTCACTTCAATAGGGCTATGTTAACTTATAAAAGCAGAAGAGATGGTTTGAATGCCTGCAGATCACCTTTCCAAGTCAGGGCTAGGGAAGTGTGTTCATTCATTGTGAGTCTCCACCCCTACTTTCCCAGCACACAGATTCCAGTTCTCTGCCACGTGCCTAGCAGCTACAGAACTGGGATCTCTATCAGGTGACAAGCTACTCAGGACAGGGCCTTTTCCCTCCCAGACTAAAGAGCCCCAGCACCAAGCACAGCCTCTGGGCACTGCCACAATGTGTGCCTATAACAGCAGCATGACATCAGCATGATGTAGGTGACCCAAACAACTCAGCCGCCATGCTCCAAGGTGTCACACTGTGCACTTGTGGTGGTTGCCATCCAATGGTCTCTCCTCAGTAGGGTTGCCTGAAGTGAAATAGGACTCAAATGCATTAATTAGCAAAACTTCATCAAATCTGTGGTTATCAGGTTAAGTCTGCTTGAGGGAAGGACTTTTCATATGAAGAAAAAAGCTGAAATAAGGCAGCCTTCCTTGTCCTGGAACAGGTCTGGTTGTCTCCTCCTCTACAGCATTGCTTCAAGAATAAAGTGTCATCATCATCCACTGTAAAATAATATGGAAAGGGGGTTGAAATAATCCATCCCTGTGAGAGCTTTGCCATACTCTCACCTGGACTGGACTATGGGACATTGGAGATATTCTACCTTCAGAAGAAGAAATGTAAGCCATAATAAAGCAGAAGACTTAGAAGCCTGAACCTCCTGTTGTTTGTAACCTTCCCTATAAGTGGTCAGTTAAAGATACCTTTTCTAAGGCTACAGAATAAAACAAGCAATGCCACATGCAACACAGGGGCCTGCATCTGACAGTCAGGGAATGGGCTTTACCTCAGATTCCCGGAGATATATCCCTTTGCCATCTTGTGTTAAGTTGCGAAAGGCCTCTGCAAAAGAAGTAAATGAGGAGCCTTAACTTGATAGCCAAGAGATCATCACAGCCAAGGCACTGTTTTGGGAAAAATCCCAATGGCAGAGTTTGTAGGCTATTCTCAAGTGCATGTGAGCTTCTCTGTTCGTGAGAGGTCCCTGCAGGCTGGAATGCTGGGAGCAGCTGAATAAAGTCAGGCATGTTACTCTCTGCCTATCTATCTGCGAAACCTCAAAATGCTGGTGGTCCCACCCTTACCCATTACAATTATGAGACATGTTAAGTGTCTACAGCATGATCCAAGAATCAGCTGTCTCATCATCAAACTGCAGTCCACCAAAGACATATTTCAAAGCTTTCTTCTTCCTGGAAAAGGTGTATTTCAAGGCTGTCTTCTTCATGGAAAACAAGTAGTTTTTCATCTCTAATTTGCCTACCTCTTCCAACAGAAGGCCAGTGCAAATGTGCAGAGAGCTTAACCACTCTGACATGTACAATTTGGATGTCTGTAGGAAGGGACTGGTGGGGAGGTAAAGAGAAAGCTTGGCCCCCTCTGTATCTGTCCCTAACTTTAAACTGATTACTCTTGCTTTATTCATAAATTCAGTCCTGCAATTTTGACCTTGGTACTGCCAGTGGGAACAGCATCAGAGGGGCCATGGCTCAGCTGGCAGCCCAGCTTGCCTGGCCAGACACGGAGCGCCAGCCTCACCTCCCATGATCTCCACTCGAAGCATGAAGCAAACAAAGCTCTCAAAACTGATCTGTAAGTCAGGGTCACCATATCTGATTGCCATCAAATTACAGACTTCATTGCTGAGTGAAATGCCTATGTAAAATGGGGGGGGAAGAAAAGGAAAACAGAATGAGATGGCACAACTGAGTGGCCTTCATCCCTTCTCCAATAGCTTTCTTTTTCAAGCCTGGCCTAAGATAATCAAATATTAGCCAGCCCAAATGAAATCTCTACATGAAGATATCTTCTCCAAATTTAAAAGGGTTCAGGTCTGCTTTCCTATACTTACTGTCCTCCCAGAGTTGGAATAAAATACAAATAGGTCTCTTTTGTTCATGGGATATGAGGGTAATAGCAGCAGCTGGGTTTAAGAGCTATATTCCCAAGAGGGTAGGAAAGGAGATGAAAATCCGGAGGAAGCTCATACAGAAAGCATCAGTCCCAATGTCAAGCAGCAGCAGTATTTGCAAGGAACAAAAGCATTCTCTATTAATGGCCTGTGATTTTAATTTGCTTTAGCAGAGGTCTGCCTGGGTTTCTCACTGTGCTTTAACTGACTCAGATGAACTGGGTGAATATGCACAAAAAAGAGGAATGATATTTAAGGTGTAAACATGCAAAAGAAGCTATAAGATTGAGCTCCAGCCCCCAACACAACACCCAGCAATAGCAACAGAGCTCGGTATTTAGACCCATATGTATCATCTTCCATTTCTAGATCAAGCCTCAGACGCTGCATTAGTGAAGTCTGGCACTGATATAGCCTCCATACAAGTCCCACACTTCCAGATTTGGTCCCTGAGATGTCGTCTTCAGCAGAGGTAGCAATTTTATAGGAGCTAGATCGGGCCTCCTGCATCCCCACAACCCCACAAAATCTTTTAAAATTCAATTAGCAGCACACAGGAAGGGATTTAAAAATTGGGTCTGAAATAGACAGACACTTCTGTTTCAGACAACTCTCAGTGCGAGACCACACTGAGAAAAGAGTGAGCAGCCTATCTCATGGCAAAATAATTTTCAGATGTGTTGACCTAGCTAAAGAAGGAAGAAGAGATAGCCAAGACCATGTGAACTATAATATTTTCCAGTCCTCCTGGGCTCTACACACAGTTATCAAGATGTTTCCCAGCCCTGTGTTTTTCCTTCACCTTTCATGAGCAAGAAGATGAGACTTGATAAAATATGCTGTGGGCTCACCTGTCTCCTGTACAGCTGCGTGCAGTTCCACAAGGTCAAGCTTTCCTGATCTCTTGGTGTCTCTCTTCTGGAAAACTTCCTGTGGGGTGAAGGAGTACTTTTAAACAAACTAAAGCACCCAAAACCCAACAGGTGACACCAAAGGGATTGTGAGCAGGGAGATGTTGAAAGGGGGCATAGAAATTACTGTCATACCAAATAGAAAAGCAGTCTTTTCCACAGGACTCTGAATTCCTGGATACTCAGTGTGCCAGTGGCATTCAGCTTAGTGGGAGAATTAAGGTCAAAACATCTCAATTAAACATTAGAAAGCACCCATTACATATATTAAAAAATTAAAAGAGAAAAAAACCAACCAAAAATCCAAACAACCCAAAAACTTGCAGCCACTCTAACATACATGCAATTATAATATGAGGATAATGATTTCTTAGTCCACGTGCCTATTTATAGACTTGATCCTCCTCTCACTAAAGTCAATGGAAACCCTGGCTGCTGATTTCAGAAGTGGCAGGAATCAACCCTTTCCCAAACCAGCTCCATTCTGTCACAGCTGAACTGTTATTATGGAGGGTGAGAAGTTCAATAAGCAGGGCCATGTCCTGGTGGTAAAGAAATCACAGTAACACTCAGACTGGGCTAAGAAATAATGCTCTGGTAAAGTATTATATGAGTCAAAAGTATCACTCATGACAAGGATACATCCAGGAGTGCCAAGATACCCTGGCAAGAATCCAGACTGAAATTCAGGTGAAAACTCTGGAAATCTGGAGAGAAAAAAAAAAAAATTGTTTTGGGGAGTCATTGGACATCTCTCAGAAAAATGGACTCTCATAAAATTCCCCCTTACTTGAGAGGGCTCAGGCCCCAAAGCTTTTGTGAAACTTTACTCCCACCTGAGAAGATGTATCATTTATGATGATAAAAATATGAGGCAACAGGATGGATTCTACTAGTCTCAGAAAATCCAATATGAGCTCCCTGCAGGCATGTAATATAGAATGAAATATGGTACACTATCTCCAGCTATTAGAGAAAATGGAAGGAAAAGGACATCCAAAGCTCTAATCCCAAACAGAATTTACTGCATGACCTTGAGCAAAGTCACTTGACCTGAAGAGCTTTGGGGAACAGCACTGCAGATTAATTGAAACCCTTGTACTAAGCATCTCTCTCTCTCTCTTTTTCACAGACACATTGCCAGCTCTGTTAATTTAATTAAAAGTACAGGCACTGCTGAAAACATGATGCTGCCTCAAAGCTTAGCATTCCTGGTTCATATATAAGTTACACCAAGAGTAACAGAAATCGGCTCTAATCTCACTACAAATCATGATTACAGTTAGTCTGTGCCTTCCACTGAGTAAGCGACAGAATCATAATTCACCAATCCCTTCCCTGCAGAAAGTCAAGATACTTTAATAATTTTGATATTGTAATAGCCCTGATTAGTAAATATGAACCAAGGACCATAAAGATATTTAAATAATTCTTAAAATCAATAATTTATGAAAAGTAAAGGCTCCCTGTTCAATATCATTTTCTCACAGATAAGGCAGCACCTGGTGGGTCAGTTTACAAAGACAGAAGAACTTTCCTTGTCCACCTTTGTAGAAAAGAGAGTAATATCAAATACAGTTTAAGTGAAAAAGGCATCACATCACTTTTCATCATCTTCTTTTTTACTTGTAATGGCTGGACACAGTATTTTCTGTATTGCATATTGATTGTTACCAGTGAAGAAACTGGGAAGAAAATCTGGATTCATCATTACATCTGAAATTTCATTGTCACTGCTCAGAGAGAACAGCCACTGCAATGCCTCACTGCTGTCCAGGTAGTGTTGTTTGTTACTAAGGTCCAAATTATGAGCCTGTGGAATGCTTTGGGCTGCCCCCAGCAGAGTGGATGTCACACACAAGAGAGACAAGCCCGGGGCTCACCTGGCTCTCACAAGCATGGGTTACAGAGGCCACCTGCACCTCATCCTGTCCCCCAAACACACAGCAAGGAGCCCTGTGCATGCACAGCAGGGAGAGTAAATAGAAACAGCAACATGGATCAGGCACATGAAAGTAACAACAAACCCTTCTCCACCACACAAATTCCTACAGACCAAACTTTCCACGTCTTCTAGTTTGGTGCTGCTGAGACTGAGGAAGTGGCACAGGGCGAAGTGAGGTACAATTTCAGAATCAAAGCTCAGGTCTGGGTTTGGAGGCCAAATTAAGAATCTGCATCCATGCTTGTTCTCCCCCCTCATTCTTTCAATTGTTGAAATTCAAACTAGATTAGCACTACTTATAAAATTTCTGCCATGCTGATTCACAGCCCAGTAAATCCTTTTGCTCTGGAAATCTAACATGGCATCAGAAGAGTCAGTTCTGTCAGATTGAAGCCAGTTTCTCTTCCCAGAATTCAAGAAATAGATACAAGAACTGAGGCTTTTCTCTGAGAGAGCTTATTTTACAGAAACATTATTTCTCAGCACTTACTTCTCCAAGCTATATTATTCAAGATCCTCTGGAGCTGAACAGCATTTATTTCAGGATTCTGTGATATGGAAGAGAATTAATTTTTTTTTTATTCTAAGTATTAAATCAGTTTTCTCCCTCTTTTGTTTTCCCAGCATGTCCCATCTTCATTCTCTGCTTTTCTGGCCCCACTCCAGCCACTGTGAAAATCGACAGAAAATACTCCCTTTGAATATGACAAGATTCTGAACCTGCAAGAGCTGCAGTGTGCTCTGGGCTAAGTTCTCAGGGCTCCAACACAGATCAATGCAGTAGTGCAGTTTTCCACTGAGTGAGGATGCAGGCCGTTAACCTTTCAGCCCTGGTGCCATCTGTCCCATCAAGCACACTGTCAAGAGACCTGCTTCAAACATTCCCCTTTTATCATTTACAAACAAGCAATTCCCCCACCCCCACCCCCCCCAAAAAAACCACCATACAGGAAAACAAACCACAAAAAAAGAAAAAAAACAAAAAGAAAAAAACCCCAAACAACCAAAAAAACCCAAAACAACAAACACAACAAAAAAACCAAGAAAACTTTGGAATAGTTCTCCCCAAACTTTTCAAAGCAGAGATTCCCCCTCTCTCTTGTCATACTAAAGTTTACAGATCTTTTAGAAGCTGTGACAATCTTTTGTTTGAAGGATTTTTTTAAATGTCACTCTTCAAAAATAAAAGCCTGCTTTCAGATCATTGAGACATGGCAGGGTAAAGCCTTCAGAAATGGCAGTAACTCCCTCTGCCTCTGTGTGTACTTGGACATCCTGACAGCAAAGGACCAGCACCTCACAGTATGTGGCAATTTCTAACACATCAAAGCCACACCGTTCTCAAAACCAAAATCTTAAACAAGGGGCAAAAAGTGAAAGCATTCCTTGTTTTAAGAAACAGCTTCCTTCAAAATATTCTCTTAAAAGTGAAAATTTGTTTTTGTGAAATTGTGTTTTCCAAATACAGGGTGTGATGCTAAATAAATGCAGTGACCTTTTCTGAAAGGTGAAACACTTGCATCTGTCACCACAGTCAGTGGGACCCCTGATGGTCAGCTCCATCCCGAATCAGGCCAGAGAAATCACTAAAGAGAATCTTTCACAGTAAGGATCATATTTCACTAGGAAAATTAGGGGGAAAAGATGATGGGACACCCAATATCTATTTCACCTCTCAAAGCAGGTTAGCTGCCATCCAACTGTGATGAAGTATGTATTGAAGGTTCAATATTTCAGGAGTGTTCTCTAATAGGTAACTTTTCCCAATGAATGTAAGAATGCCCCAAAGGGTAGGATGGATCCACACAGCCTATCACTTTGTCCCCAGTACAGGCAACAGGAATTAATGATTAGGAAGAGCACATGAGCCTGGTCAGCTTCTAACCAGGTAGTCCATTCTGCTGTTTCACTGTTGGAAAAATTAACTTAGAGGGTACATCCATGTTCAGTCTTTTAGCATTTGTTTATGGACGTTCTGTCCATCAGTTTGCTAATACCTTTTGAGCCTCTTGACACTGTCACACCCATATTAAGTTCCAGGCACTGACATCCTGTTGTGCAGAGAAGAGTGCCTGTCTCAATGCTATCACATTGCTAAGCTTCACAGGCAAATTTTCTGTGTGGAGTCATCACTGTACAGACTCCAGCCTCCTCTCCACAGCCCCTCTCTGCTCCCCACACATCCACAGAGCTCCCTTGAACATCCACATGCTTTTACTTTCACAGAGCTACATAATACCTCTGGAGGAGTTTACTCATGCAAGCACTTACCTGTTCAAAATGCTTTGTGAAGAAATCCTCCCAAATCTTGCCTTCATATCTATCAACAATTTCCTTTAAGGTATCAAAAAAAAAAAATCATTAACTTGCAGAAGAAAAATACTGTCAACCAAGTTATTAAAGATGCTTTCCCAGAATGGCATTCCATTCCCTGCCCTTTCCACCCTCTGCCCACCACTGCAATCAGTGTTACATCACTAACACAGCCCACTGCTAAGATACTTCCCTACATCACAGAACTGCTATTTCTTGGAGAGAAATACTCAGATGACATTTAGTGGGGAGAAACATTCCCATCACCCCAACCCAAGCTGTGTGAAGCACAGGGCTCACTCTGTGCCAAGAAGAGAGAAGGGTCTCTGTAATCCTTTATATAGCCCAACAGAGGAGATGAAAGAAGGAAAGGCCCTGTTTATGCCAGGGGAACAGACTATGCTATAAATTCCCTAGCACAAGCTGCAGACGTGCATGCACAGTTCTTTTGAAAATAACCATTAGGCCTTTGCATGACAATAGCACTACTAAGGTCCCATAATGTCTTCAAAACGTTCAAGGCATGAAAGGGATGGGTGGAAGTGCAAGAATGGACCATGAGTATCTAAAAAGCCATGAATGGGAAAGACTGCAGAGCAAGTAAGATGATATCATTAAAAGATGTTTGCAAAAAGGACAACTAAGTTGTCTGAAGTTTTGCCTGTCCCCCACATTTGATTGCATCTGTCCCCTTGGTCCAAAGGATTCTGTCTGTAAACCCAAGCTGTGCTATCAAGTGCTGCAACACAAGCATTGACATTCTCACTCAGCCCCTCCTCTAGGGCAGAGCAACAGTAAAAATCCAACATTCAGAGCTGTTGATTGAACCACAGACCCCCTACTCCACTCACACCCACTCACCTTCGAGAGGGTGAAGCTCGTGTTCCCACCCATTTCCCTGGAGATGCAAAAAAGCAGACACATTAAGGACGTATATGAGTTGTGTGTTTGTCTCACAACAGGTGTCATTCCCCTTCCCCAGATGGGGCCTCAACCTGCTTTTGCTGTGTTTTTTTCTCTGCTGTTACAGCTACAGTAAGGCAAGGCCTCATATCCATGCAGAACCCCAAAAGCTGCTGGCATTTGAAGTATCCAAAGCACCATTTCTGTACAAATAACCATCCTAGCTTTGCCAGCAGGGAACTCCTGGGAAACTAATGGAGCTAAAAAGCTAAAGAGCTCTTATCCTTCTCACAGTCTCAAACATGAGCATGCTGCAAGGATTGTGTGGGCCTATCTCAGATTTTTGAAAGGGTAAGGCCAAAACCAGTGCTCCAACCACTGAGAATCCTGCAGCAGGAGAAATCCAGAGCCAGCTTCTCTCAAAGAGGTTGTGCTGCTTCTTGCAGAGTTAAGTCTTTATGCTGCCCCCATTAGACTGGAAAGACCAGACTTTCCCAGGGAATTTGGTGCTGGCAGAGCGGCAGCAGCATCTCACCGAAGAACGTGCTTCCTGGAGAAGACCCGCAGGATGAACTCAGACTCTTGTTGAGGCTCCAGGGTGGATGGGACAATCACGTAGACACAAGGCTCCAGATGGAAGTCATGAGTCACTTCCCGCTCATCAAGGAAAACCTGGTGCTTGTTCACAGGCTGATGTCGGGTGAAGAAACCTGGGGGTAACTTTCTGTTGCTCTCCTGGTACTGTTCAGAGAAGAAAGGCAAGAGAATTGTGTTCTGCCCCAGCTGATCACATGGGCAAAAGGAGTGTGGAGGATTGACGGGCAGGGCACAGCCAGTCTTTCTTCACATCTCAGCCTGTTTTACAGCACAAGCAGGTAACAGAGCCCAGAGGACTCTGTCTCTTCCCAGGACATGGCAGTTCTCACTATGCAGCATCCTTGTCCAACACTAATATGACAAAAGACTGGGCTTCCTACAACTTATAAAAAAACCCTTACACTACTTGTAAGGAACAGCAGCAAGAACTGGGGACGAGAAGCTATTCCTGTCAACGTGGCTTCTGCAAAAGTTTTTGCCATATGGGTCAAAATGACTGCAGGCAGGAACTGCTCTAGAGACTGCCCTTCACTAGCCAGAGCACCTCTTTTCCCACAGGGACCATATACTTTGTCCCCAGCTTGTCCTTTGCACTAGGGATCTGGTAACAAAGGATTTTTCGGAACACTTGTGACCTGAGCATACTGCACAAGCAACCTAAGCCCTTGTCCTGACTTCATGCAAGTGTCCTTGATCTGTCTGGCACTCTGCTCTGCAGGCCCTTTTCTGCCACAGGATGATGGATAAAGTGTTGATCCAGGCAACATGGAATTAATTTTAATGCCACTGAGTGCCCAGTACACAAGCCAAATAAATAATCCTGCTAGCTAAAACTACTGTCACCTTCTGATCTTGGCTGTTCCTCAAAACATTTCGCCATTTTACTCTGCAGCCTCATGGGGAGATGCTATTCCTCTTCCTTTGCCAGTATTTTTCTTACTAATAGAGCAATCTTTCTTATGAAGGGTTCAGGGTTACTCCTCCTCATGCCCCTTATGTTAAATTCAAAGTTTTTATATTCCAGTCAATACTCTGTTGACAGCAGTTCCAATACCTTAGATGCTCGCAGCTTGCCATCTCTCCGTATTGATCTTGGCAACCACTACAAACCTGAAATTGAAGTCCTGGCTGCCACATTCCCACTCAGGTGTGGCAGAGCACTGTGCTAGGGCCATGCTCAGACCCCCCTCTGCCAGAAAGTTTATCCTGAAGGCAACCCTGATAGCGCCCAAGATAAATTTAAGTCAGGAAGGAGTGGCATCTTACCCCATGGTTACCAGGCTGTGTCTACAGTAACTAGGAACACAATTGTGCTGCCCTAACCATATACCCAAACTAGTTCTTTGCCAGCAAAAGTTATCATTTAAGAGGTGTACTCTCATTTGAGTAGTAACAGAGTGGAAGATATGCCCTTTAAAGACAAAATGAGCTTTCCCTGTTTTAAATAGCCCTTTGAGGTCAGGGCCAAAATCGGGACTTACATCAGGATTTAACTTACATGGCCCTTTCTTATGTCCCAAAGGCTCTTAGATAAAAAAAAAATGCTAGAAATACAGCTGACCTGAAGAAGCTGAAAACACCTGTACCATCAGACAGCCAGGAACCTGAGGTCCCTAGGAGATCTTTGACTTGCATGAGGCACAGGCTCTTTTCCCACCTCATGCTAAGACTGAAAGGCAGGAGAAAGGCATCTCTGATTCCCACGACACAGCCAGGAATTGGGGCACCATCCCACAACTGCAGCAGGGATGAAATGCTCATCAGGTAAAGGTTGATGCTACTTCTAATACCTTTGAAGACCCAGGACAGAAGCTGAACAACTAATGCCCACTCTCAAGGCCAATGAGCTCTCCGGATATGGCTGCTGGTCAGTAGATTGAGAGGATGGTTCTGCGTTAGTAGTGCCTTGCTGTGGTGCCTCAATGAATTAAAATACCGTCACTCACTTCAAATACCATCAGCCAAGGAACAAAGGCAAACACACCACATTCAGCATTGTCTTAACAGCTGCACCAGCCCAGGTCCCCCAGAGAACAGCCAGCAGTGGTGACAAGGGACTCACCTGTAGGCCCACCTGCAGGAAGAAAAGAAACAGAGCATCAGTCAGTCAGGACCTCTGTGTCTCACAAAACACAGCCAAGTCATTCCTGGGAAGCCGAGCAGCTACATACATACACACATACCCTATGTGGGGTCTTTGCCTTCAGAAACCTCACTCCCTCCACCCAAAAACCCTTTCCCACAGTCACAACTCCATAACTGTGCAAGCTCACAGAAGCAACAAGACCTGTGGCTCTGTTCAAGGGAGAAGAGTGGCTCTCAAGGTACTCAGATAAGCAGAGAATTGAAGGTAGGAAACTCACTCCTACTGATATCAACTTCCATAGCAGCATGCACACATGAGCAGCTTCCACATCATATTAGGAACACTTTTTAGACCAAATTTTACCATGGTTGGAAATAACCTGAGGGCAGAGGTCTTCCTGCCCCAAAGTAAGTTACTGGCACCCTCTTCCAGCTATTGCACATACTCTCAGAGGCAGCAAAATAAATCCCAATGTGCTTTGAAGCAAAAGGCACTTCTCACTGCTCTGCAGGGTGACACACAGCATGCTGGAGAGGCAGCAAGGGGAGCACAGAGCCTGAGGGAGCCTACGCCTGATGTGTGAGGAGACTGGGCACAGGCAGAAGGAAAGAGCAGAGATCACCCTGCAAACACCAAGAGCTCTTGGCCTGCAGAACACTATAATCTACAGGGGCTGGAAGTTCTCCTGTTTGGTGACAGCAAGAAAAGCAAAGCAATTTGCACCTTATAGAGTAAAAATCCAATGAAAAGGTGAGGGGCTCGGTTCCGGTGTTTGGTGCTGTGTTTCTGCATGAGGGATATAACCACGTTGCAGGTACTTGGGCTTTTCTTACTGTCTTCAGCTGGCAACACATTCAGCCAGTACTGAGGGTTCATCCAAAAGTTGCCTAAGCAAAACAAGAAAAGCATTTTGATGTCATTTTCCATCACAAAATTGATTGCCAGCTTCCCACATGATGCCTGACATTGGACTGAATAGGTCACAGGCTGTCTTGACCTCCAGACCCCACAGGAATTTGATTTTAAGGTGCAGTTTACAAGTTTAGCAGTGCAACTACTATCTAAGACAGGACAAAGACCCAGGAACAAGGAACTATAATTCTGCTTATATGCAACTAAGAGCTTATTTTGTTTATAAATGTATCACTATTCCTCTCTCACCTCTGGTGTATGGACTAGCTGAGTTTAGACTTCACCTGCTCTGCTTCCGAAAGAGCTGAGCCACTATTTTATTCACTTTACTTAAAACACACTCCCTGGTGGTGCTGAGGATGCAAATTTTAACAGACAAGTTTAATGTCCTAGAGTAGATCAGTGCTGGCATTGATCCTGGGATCCTAAGGCTTATTTCATGCTATAATCAGCTCACTGCCCTATGTTTTCAAGCAGTGCACCTTCTGTGATATCAGAAGCCAAAGTCCTTCAGCTGTTTAATTCTGATGTTTGTGCGGAGGCTGAAACAGGAAGCACATGTTTCTGTTATCAGTTTTATAAGAGGTTATAAGGAGCTGATAACTGAGTCAGCAGAGTATCCAAAAGTCAGAGTTATCCAAAAGAGCACCCCTCACCATTACAGAATCCCAGACTTCCTCCTGCTGTACTTCCTTTAACCCATCTCCCACTCTTCAAGGAGTACATCCACTTTTTCCCATCTTCCTGGCTCATCAGGTCTGGAGTTAATTTACAGATCACCAGATCTACAAAATGAATCTTAAAATCTCGCAGAGACATCCTGGGAAAAGAGTGCCAAGAGACATCCTGTCAGCAGTTTAGTTTAGTCCATATGGCTCATAAAATGGAAAGAAAAGGGAGCGGGGAACTTAGAAGCTGCACCATTCTGTGTTACATATGGTAATGCTCATATTTTATTAGGCAGTAAAGAAGAGAGCGTCTGCTTTCACAGCAGCATCTAGGAGTAGCTAATGCACGACTAAAACTTCAGCAAAGGATAGCAGAACAGAGAATAAAATAATATTGCCAGCAAAGGAAGTGTAGTGAAATTACAGGGGCAGCAACATTGCCGCCTTGTGGCAAAAGCTGTGGAGAAACTGCAGACAAACAGGCAAAGATCTTCCCGAAGCTATAATAAAAAAAATAATAAATAAATAAAAAAAGTTAGGACAAAAGCTCCTGGGAGTGCCCTTTATCTCCAGTAGTCCCAGGAGATCTAGCAATGTCCTGCTTCTCCCTCACTCCTGCATTGAAGAACAGTGTATTCCATGTCTGCACAGCCACTGCTTCTCATGGCATCAAGCTGAGAGGAGCATGGGCTGCTATAAAGCTCATCACCTATGCCTTGGCCTAAGAGGCAATGTGCTGCTTCAGCTCCAGGTGCAGTCCCAGGGCTACTGGTGGAGAGGGGAGAAGCAAGACTATGCCATTACCAGAATTCTCCATCTTCCTTCTTTTTTCTTAGCAAAATCTTCTCCTTCGGGCTCAGCAGCTCCCACTTGTAAGAGCTAAGGGGAAAAACATGAGGTGACTAACCAAATGTGGCCATAGATTAGAGGCAGATGACATAACCTTCCTCTATAAAAAGAGGCCAAATCCCTGTTTCTACATATCTCCATGCTTATCCCCCACTATGCCTTCAGCCACACCAGACTCTGCACAACCACTCTGGGTCCCATGAGATGTAGCTACATGGCTCCAGTTTTCTCCAGCAGAAGCCAGAAATGTTCCATTTCCATCAGCCAGTCCCTTCACTTGAACACACGGCTTCCAAGTACTTAAAATATAAAAATCTAGACCTGCTTTATTGGTTAATTTTCTGTCAAAGGAGACATAATAGGAAGAGTGTTTGGCATAATGAATGAATGACTAGGACAGCACAAGAGGCAGCTGGGAGTCGTTTCAAAGGCAGGCCTGCAGTATGTTGCTCATTATGCTCCTCAACAGAACAGCTGGTGTGTTGTCATTATGTGACAGACACACATCAGAGAAGTTACTGCTCTGCAGACAAGGTGAAAGCCATTCACATTCCCAGTGACCTCTGTACTCTTCCCTCCTTTCTATGCCCTGAGCCTCAGCAAACAGCCTGTGCAGGGAATGAAGTGAAGCTTGGAAGCAAGAAACATGCTCCACTTCAAAGAGGAACAGGACACAAGTTTACAGTTGCCCATGGTCTAGAATGCAAACCACTGTCTTTCATGGGTCCCAACCAAAAAAAAAAACAACAAAAAAAACAAAACCCTAAAAATCAGGTAGATGCAAATATAGAGCCCATTTACCACACTAGTTGTTTCCTCTGATCTCATGCCCAACTGTACTTCCCCAAGCAGCCAGGACAGAGGACTCCTTCCTAGTTACCCAATTCCAACACTTTGCGGCCTGTGGAAGATTCTTTCTGTGCCCTCCCATGAAAAACGACTATGTCCTGAAACATGGGGGTTTTTCAGAGCCTCCTGCACAGCTATCTGTCCCATTGCATGCTCTCCACATCACAGCAACGTGGTCAGCATCTCATGCTCCTATTGTGTTTCCTCTGGCATTCAGTAAAAGGAAAAGTAGAACTGATCTGATTGAGGCTGCATGTATGAAGTGCAGCACTGTCTGTTGGAGACATATAAATCCATGGAGTCACTGCTTTGACACCAGAAGGTCTGTGCAAGCAACTGTTATCTTACTGCTGCCCTCAACATTAATTCATGCCTGAAGATGGCAGCATCTTTCCTCCAAGAAACCTGTCCTCCGCTCAGTGTCACACCTTTCCTTTTTTAAACTCACCTGTCACTCCAGTCTCCTTTCCACTCAATTTTTCCCCATGGATTTCTCAGTCTCACTAAGTTTTCAGGTCCATATTGACAGGTCACCTGCAGAAAACAGTAACATTCTGCTTATCAAAGTCTCAGCAGTTCTCATCTGGTTTATATCATTGTACTATGTCAGATATTAGCAACAATTTTGTTTGTTCTCATAGATGCCAGCAAGTATTATGATAAAAATATTTGAACATGTAACTCTGAATGCCAACAACAAAGAGATTAAGGTGCTTCATCTTACATTCTAAACTGAAACCAGAGACATGACAGATTCCTAATATAAAGGCTTGACTGTAAATTCCTCTTCCTTTCCTACATCTGTTCATTTTGTACTCACGTGAAAGCCAAGTCCTACCCCAGTGCAATGGCACAGCACAATGCAGCCCGCCATGGGTGCCCACACAGGTTAATGCCTCCTGAACTGGGATGCCATGGTGGGAACAGAGGGAACCAGGCCAGTTAGGGGCTTTGTCGACAGTGCACAGCAGAACAGCTGACTTCACACTGTTTCCATATGCTTGGTCAGTCCCTTAAGGCTGCCTGGCTCTTCATCTCACCAGAGGAGCCAGACTGACAGACATGTTTTTGAAAAACTCCACACGTAACTCCTCCTGCTCCTCCTCCTGTGGGAGACACAGATGTGCCTAATCCAGCTCATCTCTTCTGCCCTTCCTAGTATCTCCTGCTAAAGGTACTGAACATGCTTTCACCAAAATGTCCAAAGCTCCACATAGTCTTTGCCATCCTTGTCAACCTCCTTTTGAAGCTGGACAAGACAGTCATCCACCAATTCAGGATGAAAAAGCTACTCTGTTGAACGTATTACTTCAAGTCCTTTACCTTTAGACAAATACCCTAAGGGGACTCCCAGCAATTCTTCTGCAGATTAGTGGGGTCTCCCTGCACTGTCTGCACAAGAGCACAGTTCAGTTCCCTTACTCCTCCCCTGATTCACATTTCCATCTGCAGTTTTTCATATTTTGACCTTTGCTTCTCTATGGCTTCTCTACTGCCTTCAGAGGAAGGCTTTTTACCCCAAGTAAAAAGCACATCCCCAAGTTTCAGCACATCCTCCCAGCAGCCCCAAAGGCCAGTCCTTTCATACTTAACAGCTAAGGTGCATTTCTAGGTGATGGTCTCAGCAGAGTGTTGTGAATCATTCCCACCCTTAGAGATACACTGATCCATAACAATTGTCCTTTACATCAAGGCCTCCAAATTACAATGGACACACTTTAAATGTGAGTCTTAACAAAGCCCACAGTCTCTTTCAGCCTTAGACTAAGAACAGAGTATTGGGGAGGAGATGTTGTAGTTGCTCTGATCAATGGGCGAACCCATGAATGACATAAAAATTGCTAATATCCAAATTAATCTGGACCCAGGACATTTGGGCTGGTCTTACCTTTCTAATACCAGTTACTGTGTAGGCATGGCCAGCAACAAGCCCATTCTTCAGGACCTTTGTTGTCTGTATACAAGAAAGAGAAACAGAAGAACAAACCTTTTATTATATCCATACTCATAGAGCAATACCAGAGACCTGTACTCCTGTAAGCAATGGCTTTCAAAGCAAACGGAGAACTGAAAATTAAATAAATAAATAAATAGAAGCTCCTAAATCCAGATTTTTCAGTATGCTTGGAATTGGAAGGCTGATTGTTAATGGCCCTTCCTCAATTGTGGATCTTCAGCTAGAGACCATCTCACTTTAAGGAAGTCCAGGAGGTTAGGTTTTGATTTTCAGAAAATAGTTTCCCAACAGCTGAGGTGGTAGCATAAAGCTTGGAAGCCAAGACTTTAATGCGTGTTCTGAACAATCCACCTCTCTACCTTAGCTATAACTTTATTCCATGTGTGTCTGTACCTCACTGAACCATCTGTAAAAATGGAAAATTTATTTAATAAAAATGGGAAAATGCAGTAGGTCCCTATTTAATAGAATTGCTTTGATAGATAAACCAGGTCCTAAACATAATAACAGAGAGCTGAGAGCATCAGGGACTCAAGCCATGAGCAAAGTTTAACATGAAGACGTGACTTCTACAGAAAGCCACGTGTGGCAGCTTTGACATGTTTTGAGTCACAATGACTAGCTGAGAAGAGAGAAATGGGTCTGCAAAGGTTTTTAGTTATAAAGTCATTTGATGTCCCTCCAAGCTCACCCCTAAGTGTGTTTGACAGCCCATGAGAGATCTGCTGTAGGTGGCTCTTGTCAGGATATCCCACAGATCAGGAGGAGCTTCTGCAAGCTTGATCCTTGTATTGACACCCCCTGTAAAATCCACCAAGGCTTCTGAAACTTGCCCAATCTGCAGATCTTCATAGGAGCCATAGAGTCTAGCAAAAAAAGACATCAATATATTCTTTGGGTTATAGTCACAGATGACAAGTTGAGAACAGCTGGCCAGTGAAAACATTAAAAAAAAGTGTGCAAAAAGCAAAAGGAGGGCTGTAACTCATATTTAATTTTAAGGGAATTTTTGGCATTTGGGAAGGGGAGAATCTACAAAATTGCCTCCAAGACTGGCCATAGTCTGAAAGAGATTCTTCACTCGCTGTCATCCCTGACTGCACTGTAATGAGAACATGCCCATCACGACTCTTTGATAACTCTGCCTTAGAGAATGTTGCCTGAATTTATCACCAGGCATTGTTCTGTATCTAAGATATAGTGCATTGAGAGACACTGTCTTGAGAGCTCAGTCTCCAATCCGATTTTATCACTCCAGTGCAACTTGGCCCAGTCTTTTCATTCTAACACTAACACCAAATGAAAATAACTGAACATTCTCACCTTTGTGTGATCCTTCTCTCAGTGTTAACTATTTTTCCCTGCTCTGCAAAGACTATTTCAGCCAAATATTAACAAACTCCATCAGTTAGGCCTTGCTGCTTTCTTCTTTGTGCTGATACTACAACTCTAGACAAAACACCCTGGAGAGAAGCCACAAAAACATCTGCCAAAACAAAGTGTAATGCTTCAGCAGACCTCCAACATTAAAATCCTTGGAGGTTTCTTACACTGATAATACATTAAAGGAGGCCTTGGAAATTATTCACATTCAAAAATGTGTATCTGTGGTGTTCTACTCCTCTGTGGTATTTACAAGGAAGGTATCAGCCTCAGCCAATACACTGCAAACAGTGATAACACTCAGAGAATAACCCACCACAATAGGGCTGTTTTCACACCTAAACCCTTGGATTTAAACTCAAGGGCCTGGTTTGATAACAGCTACTGCAATGGCAGCTTTTATGTGCGATAATAGAAAGATGAGAGCATCTACACTCCAAATGTAGCAAGGCCTAGAAGATGCATTTATAAACAAGAACAAACTGCGTAGGCACCAACCAACATATTTTAGAGAGACTATTTGCATAACTTGAAATGAGTCACTTACTTAGCATATGCCTTCTCCAGAAGGGCTCCCCAAAACACGTTCTTATAGACTGAGGAAACAAAGAGCAGCTCCCCCGCCTCATTCACTGGCAGGCGATCATCAACCACCACATCAATCCATTCCCCGAAGTGCCAGAACTGTCAGGGGAAAGGAATGAACTGATGTTTCCCTTGGAAGGGACCTCCCCTTGAAACAACAGGAAAGACAAGACAGCCTAGCTGTGGGCACAGAACAAGCTGCTGTGGGTCAGTGTGATGTGCTGACTCACTCACAGAGTCAGCTCCTCAACCCCACCTGGCCAGAGGAGAAAACAAAGCATGCATCAGGTGTAAAAGGAGTAACCAGGGAAATTAGCCACAGGTGGACTTCTGGGGAAGGAATTCCTAATTTGCAGGGTAGCAGAGTTGTAACAAGAGATGGACAAAGGGGAAGAAGATTGGAGCTGATGTGCTCAGGTCCTGCTGACTGTTGCCACTCTTGAAAAAGAGTTTTGTCTGCATTAAAACATGGACAGGACGCAGCTGGAGAGAGCAGCCAAGCAGAGGTGTTTCCTCAGTGGCTTGATTCACTGCCTGCACTACTTTGTGGGAGGGGTGATGGGCTCCTCTCCAAACTGGGATACCCTCTGGCCACTTGCCCCTGACTGAAGGGAACCACGTACAAATTATCTAAGGGTGTGACACAAAACATAGCAGAGGATATCTGAGGGTGTCCTGCAATCTGGGGGAGCAGCTGTACCCGGAAGTGGAAAATGCCCGCATATTTCCTCTCAAAGCTCTGGTTTTGTGGCACAACTGCAGCCAAGATGTCCTGGTGGAACGTCAGGGCTTCCAGGGCCGCCAGGAACCAGCAGTTCTCTGTGCCAAGACAAACGGACACATGCAGTTGGCTGAAAAGTGAGAGCTCTCAGCCAAGTTCAGCAACACCACCAAGATCCCGGCAGAAGAGCTGTTGTGCTGATGTCTTTACAATTATAGCAAATCATACACACAAAATTAGATGATCTAGACATGTTCTTTACTTAACCAAACTGTGATTGGCTTATAATTATTCTCTCATGATCTTTTCATTTGGGTACTGTTTGGTTAAATAAGAAATTTAGCAAGCAATAACGGTCAATAGAAACATTCTGTGTTTTACTGACATTGTGTGGGGCTTTTTCTGTTCTCTATAAAGGCACACTATTAAAAAAAACCAAAACACACCTTTTTAATTTTTCTTTGAAAACATTAGCTTTTCAGAAAAGAAAATAATTTCCAGTGGATCTAACATGCAAGACTGTACTTAGCAAACTTTGGTTTTAAGGACATAAAGCACTTAAAAACTAATTTAGTCCCACCTCTACCTGTTTTTCAGACGGCAATATAGTATTTTATTTTAGACAACACAGGCATAAAACTACTTTTCTAACTGTAAGGCTGAGAAGGGAATACACTCACACTGAGCATTAGGTACAAATATAAAGTCCTTTTGTGGTCTCTGTTCAATTGTCAAGCAGCAACACCACAGACCAGTAAGAGCACAGGATCACTTCCGATTAGCATGGGCAGAAACAACACACAGTGGTGATTTCAGCTTGTGGAGACACTTCTCATGCCTCAAATCCCATCTCGAAGCTTGACAGCTTATTTACTGAGCCTACGCCAGTAAATGATTGCTTCATCCACACCATGCCAAGTGGAGAGAGGAGATGGATACCTTCTATTTCCATGCCAAGTTTTATACATTCAAACTTCCATGCAAAATGTTACCCTGTGTAAGAATACTTAGATATTTATACAAAGGATCTTCCTTACCCACCAGTCCTTGGCGGAGATCAAGCTGCTTTCTATTCGCAGCATAAAATACGGGACTTTTGTGCAAAGCCTGGGAAGCACAAAATGAAAAGAAAAGAAAAAAAAAAAAAAAAAAAAAAAAAGAAGGACAGAGTTAAGCCAGTAACATAAGCTGATTTAGTTTGAAAGTTAAAGCTTTTAAAATACTGAGAATCCTTTGTCCCAGCAGAAATTGTTCTGGCTCAGGTATAAATCTACTGTTATGTGCTCTGGCTAACCTGACACAAGCCTGGGCACACATTTGTGTTTGGTCTATGCTGAATTTCATCTCCAGCATAAGTCACTGGTGCTCAGATGCATCACCATGGCTTTCCATGGAAACCATGCTGAAAAGACAGCCTTCAAACCTGCCAGTCCCGCTCCTCCACACAAGTGCCAGCCAAAAGAGGTTATGAGGGCAGAGCATAACTGTTCAAACTTTCACTCAACCTGGCTGACATCTCCACAGCTTGACTGACAATTGAGCTACAGACTGATGGCTGCTATAGAATTCCTGTTGCTGTGACAAGAATAGGTCTGTGAACAATTGTACAGAGGGAAATAATGTGGTGATTTTTTTTCCCTTCACAAGTGCCTCTGGTGTTAAATTAATAACCTAAGTGTCAAAATTACATTTCACTCGAATGACCCAGAAATTGCTCAAGCTAAGTTTCACACTGTTGGCTTCCCCTGCAGGCAGTAGCAAAGATACAGCAAACCCTCAGAAGGCAGTCACAGTAATTAGACACCAAGCCCTGCCCTTGGTGAGCTTGGGTGTTCAGTTTGCAGGCCATCAGTCACAGATGCAGCAAGCTACAAGCCTGCAGGCTGAATGGCAGAATCTCAGCATCTCCTCTGCAGCAGAGGGACTGAAGGATGCACAGCATCCATTCTCAAAGAATCTTTGCTCAGAAAGTCTGGCATCCAGAGTAGACAGCTGCCTTCTTCACAAGGCAGTTTTAGAATCACAGAATATGTTGAGTTGGAAGGGACCCATCAGGATCATCAAGTCCAACTCCTGGATCTATACAGGACACCCCAACAATCATAGCAGAGCAGAAGAATAGTCCACTGAGAGACAAAGGAGATTTCAAGTCCATTCCACCAATATTTGAGGGGTGGAGAGACACTTGAAAGGCTTTGCAGAGGCCAAGACTCATGCTGACCTTTTTTTGCGGAAACTCGATCCTACTGGGAAATTGATTAAATCTCACAAAATATGACAGCTAGAAAATAACATAGCTGGGAGATGCCATCTAGAATTACCTGGCAGAATTTCCCACAGACAAAGGAATTCTGAAATTCTCACATAATCCTGTGCAGTGCTTTCAGGAGGATCTGATTGTCAATACTCTGCTCACTGGCTCAGTAAGAGCAGAACTGGCATTGCTAGTAACAGGCCTTAGCGAACTATGCCAGGTCCCTGTCCAGGCCACCCACACTTGTTATCTACCCTTCTGTTATGAGAACAAGCTCTGTGACCAGCCCTTGCACCTGGGTGTCTCTTGTTGTGATGTACAGTTTAAGCCTAGAATTCCAGCAAAGGCCTTGGAAATGTGAGCACAAGTAGAAAACAAAGGCCCCAAAACTAAAGCAAACTCACAGACTGATGCTCAGTCACTGGCTGTGATAGAAGTTCAGCCTTGAGAGCTGGGGAAAGATTACTCGAAGTGCAATAGACTAAACAGTTAAGCAGGGGAAAAAAAACAGCCCAGCAAAAGGATAAGGCACCTGTCCTCTCTGGGAAAGTAGCAGCCTCCAGCATCCTAACAGTATGAGGTCCATGGGAGAGAGGGGTCATAGCTAAGAACTGTCTAGAAACTCAGAAATCTTCTAAAAGATCATGATCTTGAACTGTGAGGAAAAGGATCTCATCTGTCACCACAGAATCACAGTGAGATCACTGTAGCCGTGACTACAAGGAAACCAACTCTCCCTGCTCCCTTTGCCTCCTCTCCCTGCCTGCTCCAAGTGTTACTGGATATAAATTGAACAAGGTTGGTTATGATTTTGTGCAACAAATGCTTCAAAGGCAATTATGAGACTCCATGTACTCCAGCTTCCAAAATGACACCCGATGCAATAAATGTAATCCCTGGAGACATTAAAGTACACCTAAATTAAAGCCTGAATGTAGTCTGTTCAATGCTAAAACTATTTGCTGGCTATCATCTGTAAACATCCTCTTACACACAGTACCCACTGAAAGTCACTTACGTGTGGCCTCTTCCACTGTAAATTTTGGGGCAGTTTCTTTAGCAGTGCTCCTGTTCCAATAGAGCTGATGTGAGCAGGGAAGGTGTCGTCTGTGAACAAGTGTTTGTTCTTCAAGCATGACTCCAGCAAAGCCTGGTAGTTCTGCTGGATAGGAGGGGTGTGTTTTTGAAAGATACTTCTGCCTAAAGGCAGAGGTGACTTATTTTTTTTCAAGCACAGCAGAAAAGGCATGCTGATATATCCAATAACACCAGGATAATTTTTTTCCACTGAGGATTTTGGAGGAATCTCACACTGCACAGTTCTGCTGGAAACTCTTGGTTTTCTCGGATGAGGCGTGTCTTTTCAGAAGAATTCCTGATAGTTAAAATAAGTATAAAAAGTAAATTTAATCCTGCCTTTTAAAATTTTCTTCTTAGTCAGCAGGGGTGGGTAGGAACAGTGGCATCCCCAGGAGAAGTAGGGACTCACCCAGTTCTCACTGAGCACTTATCACTGCATTTTCAAGGCTTTAATATCACTGTAGATCTGAGCGAAATCAAAATTAGTAACTCCACTGACTTTTACTACAGCCCTAAAGCCATACACATGGCTGTTCTATGTCTCTCTCTGGACTATTTTAGGCTCTTCAGGACATTTTCATAACGTGTTGCAACATGAATGACAGTCTTTATTCAACCACATTCTGGCATGAAGTGATTTACCACCCCCCACCCCCCCCAAAAAAAAAAGAAAAAGAAAAAAAAAAGAAAAAAGCAAGATAAACCAAAGGCTAACAGAAAAGTGGAATACTTTAGGTTTTAGAAAGCCACAGCTCACACTCCTATGATAGTTATTTTGCCCTTTTTGCCTCATTTTGGAAAATGATATGATCTTCCCCAAGAGTTCACATTCCATCTTGCTGAACCACCACAGATTCACACATGAAATTGCATGCTGAGGTATTTTTTTCCTTGTAACATTCAAGACAGATGTTTCTCATCCCCTCACTGAAAACACCAAAGAGTGATGTCCTAGGCCTTTTTTTAATATTAGCAGCTATGTTAAACATTTGCACCACCCCTTGCTGGGAGAAATCAACAGAAAATCTCAGTAGGCAAATCACTTCCATCAGTACTAACAAGGTGATCACAATCAGTACAGTGTGGGCTGAAAAAATCAACCAGGGTAAAAAGTTTAAGAAATGGTTCACATGCCATAATGATACAGTATTTGGAAGGCTCCCCCTCCGAGGAGGCTCTGAGACTCAAAATCCCTGCCCCAGGCACCTGGGGATGCTGGTCTCAGCCACCAGTTGTTGTTACTCCCATTGAAACTGAAGGTCAGCAGCAGTCCCTGTGAGAAAACAACCACAGCTTGTACTGTCCAACCACACAGAGCCCTCATTTGTTATGAACCCACTCTAAAGTGATCCACAAAGCTTGACCCTCAAGGGCAACCAAACAAAAAAATCTTCAAAAGATAACGTTGGAAATGAAAATTCAATTTTTGTTGTACAGTAGACATTTCAGAGCTGAAAAGAATTTAAGTGTCTAACAACTTGCTTACTTTTTCTCCAGATGAAAAATGCTGTTGCTCCCTCCAAACCTTTCCTTTTTACAGCCATTGGCCTTCATGGCTGCAACAACATGAGCAACAGACAGAGATAGATTTAAGAGAAAAACAAAGGAAGAAAACAGCCTGGAAACCAGCTGCACTTTACATAGGCAGACAAAATATATATGAAGAAAAATTTCTCATTCTGCTGCTCCCCAGGAAAAGAAGTGGAGAGCAATTGGCACACTTTGAGCTACAGTGAAGAATATTTGAGACTTGGTTTTTGGGTGTGCAGAGTAATCACAGTGCCTGATAAAATTATTTTAACTTTTCACCAGTTCTCACTTCACTCTGGCATTTATTTGAAGAAGAATTGAATTTTATATACAGGTTTTGAAACCCAAAAATAGTATGAAAAAACCAATGCTTTAACAAAATTAAGGCTTAAATTACATCAATATGTAGCCTTATTTTCAAGAAATTCAGCCAGCACCCCTGACTGTGATGCCTGGAGAACTTAAGGCATCAACTGTAACTGTGTGTGTTGAGTCAATGATGCTACTTTTTCTGTTTTAAAGTCTTTTCCAAATTACTAGGAAATCTTTGAACAAAAGATGCAATGAAACATTTTATGTGTCATGAACAGTCCCTTCTCAGACAGCAAGTGTTCCACCTTGTGTTTAACCTTCTGCCTGCTGTCTGGCCACAGCCTGTTCTATGAGAGGGCACTAGATACAGCTGTATATGACCAGCCAAGGTATTCTTGTACTCCACTCATCCACAGTACTGAGCCACACTGAATCAGTCCTCCTCCACAGGTGGAGCAGAGTGTATGCATATCTCTTCCAGCAATTAAAATTTCTAAGGGAAAGCAGCCAAGTATAGCAGACAGAGGTTAAAAGCTTTAGAGGGAAGCCAGGAGCCAGTAGGTTAAATGGATTTGATTCCCTATTCTTTGCACATTCCCCTAGTTAGCATATTTACCATCTGATCTGAGTCTTTCCACTGCATTAGCACCCTGTGATCTCCCCTGAGCTTTTTCAAGATCTTAAATGCCTCATCCCTAAGTCTTGAAATGGGAAGCTGAAGAATCCATGGAAAATCCTTCACTTTTACAAAAAGTAACTGGACCATGAATTAATTCTCTGAGAGCCTCTTAATCTACAAGAGAATTTACACCAGGCAACACTTGGACAGTGGACAATTTGAACTCTAAACCTGGGGATGACAGAGCTCAGCCCAGCTCCTCTGATTTACCAAAGACAATCCAAATCTGGGCTGAGGAGCTTCTCCTGATTGTGTGGAACAGAGCAGTAAATGTTTGCATGCAAAATAATAAATTTTAGGGTGAGTAGAACAAATGATGCAGGGCCATTTTTTACAACCATTCATGTAGTACAGCAGAACATTAGCTACAGAAATTAGTAGTCATTAGTCAAAATGATAGTGTGAGTGTATTAGGCTTTGTTAATCTTTATTAGTCTCTAAACAAACAGCATAAAAACATCACTTGCAGGTACAACCTCTAGTTTTTGATTAAACAGAGTGCTGTATTTCAGAAAAAAAACCCTCAAGGCTGACTTCTGCTCTTCCTGTGGGCTTTTAAAGCAAATAGAAATATCCTGAAAAGAAGAACTGAACTATGTTTTCTCACTAAATGAATAGATATAGAGACAGGTTGATGACCTTTCCCTGCATTTCCTGTGCTTAGATTGTTGGCCCAAAGGTTGATGAACACCTTCTGGTGCTGAGATTTTCAAGATCAAGCAGTGAACTTGTTCCCACTGATCTTAACAAAACGTCTGTACCCAAAACGCCTGGACAGCTTTCAGAACTTCAAGTAATACCTCTCTGACTAAAGATTCACTTTTAAAGACTCTGGTTGAGATTTAAAAATACATATCCTTTGCTGTGGAAATATCCAAGCTACATCAAAATCAGTGAAAATATGAAAATCCCACTTACTCAAGATCTATACTTTAGCACTTAAGGTTACAACATCCTTTTCATAAGTATCCCATCATTAGATATTCTGACTACCCACAACTCCTGCTAATGACAGATAAAATTTCTGATCTCCGCAGAATACTTAGCGATCAAGTATCAGCCAAACCACCTCTAAACAGCAAAAGTGAGAGAACAAGGATTCACAAAATCTGGGTTAGCTAAAACACCAGCCTGTGCTGCCAAGCACTTGGCAGGCAGAAGTGCTGGAACTGTGACATGCAGGGCAGCTGATGTGGCTCATCTAGCTGCTTTATATCACACCCATCCTTCCCACATTTGCTGATACAAACTTTTTGCATTTCCCTTCAACACCTCCAGAGAACAGCACAGCAGCAGCTGCTGCATTGTGTAACTAATACCCCCATCTGATCCCAGAGGACAGCTTCATCTTAACATGGTGACAGTTACACTCCCTTCAAACCCCTGGAAAATCCTAATTCTGTGCTACCCAGAGATAACTGCTAAATGCCAGCACCAAATCCCTCTACATAGCACTTGGCATTCAATGTCCTACCTTCGCCAGGTGTGCTCTCACAGCTAAGGAAAACTGGCAGTGATGCCTGCTGCTCATAAATAGTATATTTGTTATCTCTCCCTATGTATTTATGTGCATGTACACCTTGCATACGTAACTCCAAGAGCCTGTCCTAACCTATCAAACACTGTGGTAGAAGCAGGAGGCGGGGAAAAAAAGCATATTGAGCAACAACAGAAAATTTCTGGAGATCTCAATGCAAAATATTCCACGGAAGACATGAAAGAACAGGTCAGCCCATCATGCAGGCTATCTTTTGACTCACCCATTGCTTCAGTGGATGGCAGTTTCCTTGTTTAATTTGTCACTCGATTATTCAAAGCACAAAACTCCACGTCTCTCCATATATCATTGACAAGGTAAAACAGGAAGATGTGTTCAACTGTGTCTTAATACATTTCAACAGGACTTCTGCTTTCAGGTGAGAAAAAGTTCAGAGGAAATACTCTCAAACCTTCCATATTTTCTCAGAACAGACAGGGACATGACACTTCATCAATCAGTTAATCATATCAATTCCTACAAAGAACATTTATGTAAGTTTGATGGACGTGTATGCTCTATGGCAGAGACAGACAAAATCACTCAAGAGTTATAGACCAAGCTTCCACACTGCAAGGATGGAGAAGGGCTCAGAGGATTTTTCTTTCCAGCAGTGTTACAGACATCCCATCAGTCAGTTCTCCTGTGCAATACAAGCAGCTTTCTTTGCCAAACAAATCTAAGGAGGGAGCTCTCTGTAAGCAAGAATGCTTCCCACTTACTGGATGTACATTATCCAGACCTACATTCCCCATTTTTGGTGGCACTTCTGAGTACCAGCACTTCGTTCCATCTCAGGCAATGAGGGGCTAAGAGCAGTATAGGGAGGGTAGGGAAAAGGACTGTGTTTGTGTGTGTGCATGTGAGTGTACTGAGACACCCGAAAAATGGTAGGAGAAAAGTAATGGGAAATATTTCAGAGAATATGAAGGAGCAGTGAGGGCAGGAGAGGAAGGCAGCAGCTTTCTGAGTTGCAAAGGCAAAGCAGTAAGTGAGAAAAGGAATAGACTATGCTGGAGACAATTTTATGTCTCCACACAGGTCATGTGGCACCAACAGGCAGCTGAGAATTTAGATCCAGCTGAACCAGAGGAAACTCTCCCTCCCTTACTTATCAAATTCATATATTTGATTTAATTCTGGGGGCCTGCTGCACCTTCCTCTCCCTGCTTTCCTTTCCCACAACCCTCGTTATTCCGTTGAACCCATCAGCACCTGAACTTTTGACACTGTCTACTCAGGTTTCATACTTGGTAATAGACAAACAGTGGCGGTAACTGCACTGGCAGGAAGTTAATTTTACTGAACTACACTGCTCCCACAAGCTTCTTGAAACTGCCAAGGTGTTATGGTCTGAGTCACCACATCTTTTCAGATTCTGTGACTTCAATATCCCCATCCTCAGATGATCTTTTGTAGGAAGTAAACCTGTCCAACCCTAAGGCTGCAGATAAGCAAACATATTTGTCACCATTTCACAAGTTTCAGTTATACAACATTATGTTTTGCCTCCAAAAACCCAGGTTTCATTTTGTGTGCAAATACTACATGACTTAGTTCAGCCTCACTGACTTTCAGCAAAGTGGAAGTGAATCTTTTCCAACAAGCATCTCTCTCCTGGTCAAGGCAAGCACACAGCTAAATGACTGCCAGCCCTGTTACCAACAGTGGGGACACGACTGAGAAACTACAGAACTAAAAGTTAAATCCATCATATCTTTAAAGATCAAGACAAATTATATAGTAGAGGACTGTAGAAGACCCCCACCAGTATCACGCAGAGGTATGTTCTCAGTAGTACTCAGCAGTACAGTGGCTTCTGTGCAGGGCAGTCAAGGGAGAGTTTCTACATTTTAAAAATGTAAATTACTAAAAAAAAAACCTAACTTAGTAAAGATTGCACCATAAGACCAATCTATCCAACAGAAAACCATCCATTAAAACACCTCTAATTAAGAAATTAAAAAGAATAAATAATAAAAACAGATGAAAGCTTTCAGTTTGATTCTGGCAGAAATAAAAACTTAATTATACTGTAAACTTCCTTTCCTGATTTTACTTCCCTTTGTTTTTGGCAAGCTCTGTACCTCAAGGTAAAGATAGTTGTTGAGGAAGTCAGGCTCAAATAGCTAAAAAAACAGACTGAAAAATAAATAAAAATGTGCAATGTTTGTGAGATACCTACAGAAAGTCTATGAAGACTGTCAAGTTTCATTCTGATCTGTCCTGGAGATAATGAATCCACAGGAAAGGGCCTCTCTTTAGCCAAGGCAAAGAAATTTTGTTTTTTTGCTATTTAGCCGTCAGGTATGCATGATTTGTGCAGTTTAATGATTAATATCCTCACCTTGTAAATGGGGAACAATTGTGCTTCTGCCATACCTGTGGCAGTGAGCTCCCACAGCCTGCACAACAGAAACCTTGCTTTGCTCCCCATTGCTGCATTCAGGAAGGGCACCAAGGTGGTCTGGGGAGATTTACAATCAAAGGCTTCCTGGCCTGAGCTTTACTGAGCTCTGAGGATAACACAAGCAAGCACCAAAGAGACTCCATATATAGCTGTAGAAATGCCAGAGCGCCATTGGAGAAGCACAGCCCTTAAATGGCAGAACTATCTAGAAGATGAAAGCAAGTTTTTTTCCTACAAAATGAGTAATTCTTGCCAAAACATGTTGAATTCTATGGGGCCTTTCATTTTCAGGAGTTTTCACTGGAAAGGAGTCATCAAATTCTTAAAGCCAAAAGCCTCTATTTATAAAACTAAAGAAATAAGGGAAACTGGTCTTAAGGAGGCTTCAAAACATCAGTTCCACTTTCAGCTCTAGGCATTGGCAGGAAAGCAGAGAAGTCTGATCTTCAGAAAATACAGTCAGCCCGCTATGTTCTTCCAGAAAAAGAAAACTGGTCCCTGGAGTCATTGCTTGCACCTTCTGGGTCAGGCCATGACAGAGAGTATACGAGTGCCTGGGATCACACAATGGGAGCAAAGAAAGTGTCCTCTCCTGCAGTAGAAGGCATAGGTCCTGGATCACTGTTCAGGCATACAGGGCCACACAGTCTCCATTTGTCCCCCTCCTGTAGAAAAAGAGAAAAGAGTTTTAATGCAGAGCTGCCTCTGCTTATGCAAGGTCTGGGCTCCTCCCAGCTATAAATGGCTGGGAAAGGGCAGGAACTGCCACACGGCAGGACTGCTTCCAAAACTGCCTCTTGCCACATTTTTTGGACCCGTGGGACGGACAAAAGTGAAAAAGCCTTTAGGAGATATTTTAGGAAAAAAATCCTGCTTTATCCCAGCTGCACAGTGGAGATGAGGAGAGCCTGGCAGTGGAGCTGATGGCCAGCCCCAAGGAGATGCCGAGCTTCAGGCTACTCCTGGAAACCTATGCGGCTGTCCTGTCAACTCTTATGGCTAGAGGAATAAAGAATTTGGGACAGTAAATAATTTGCTCGTCTCATCTGCTCAGATGGAGAGCTTCTCCAGGCATAGCCAGAGCCACAAGCCCCACAAAGTGAGGGGCAGGAGTGCAGCCCAGTCATTGGGCAGGGGAAAGAATAGTCTAAGCGATAACTGAGAGTGCACCTCATCAATGTGTATAAATATCTAAAGTGGGGCTGTCAAGGGGATGGAGCCAGGCTCTTCTTAGTGGTGCCAAGCAGTAGGCCAAGAGTCAACGAGTAGAAACTGATGCACAGTAAATTCCACCTGAGTATGAGGAAGAACTTCTTTATTGTGCTGATGACCACACCTGGGAAGCATTGTCCAGAAAGGCTGCAGAGTGTCCCTCACTGGAGTGTTCCACAACCATCTTATGACACTCTTGTGCCGCGCGCTGCGGGATGACCCTGCTTCAGCAGGGAGGTTGGAACAGATGACCCACTGTGGCCTCTTCCAACCTGACCCATGCTATGATAGGCTGGAGACCCAGAAGAGGCTGGCAGTGCTCAGGAACAGCCGGCTCCGTCAGATTTGCACCGGCACGGTTCATTTCAGTGGATTTTTTTAGGTGTATTTGGAAGCGCGGCGAGAAAGGAAATAAAATGGCGGCGGGGCTGAGAATCCCTCCAACGGCCCCCAGGGGGCGCGGCAAGACCCGGCCCTCCGCTGTCCGACATGGCGGCGCCCGGTGCAGCTTCACCCGCCGGGGAGAACGGGCGGCGCCTGCCAGGAACGGCCGGCTTCCGGCTCCCGCCCCTTTCCTGGAGGGCTGGGCCTCCGCGCCATGCCCACGCCGGGAGCCGGCGGTGTGAGGGGAGGCGGCGCCCGCCGGTGCCGCTGGGCCGGGGCTGCGCGGACGAGCCGCTCCTTCAGCCTCCCGCGGGGACCGCTTGCTGGCTGAAATCGCCGGCGCAGGTGGCGTGAGGGCGGGCAGCCCTCGCGGGTGGGCGCCGGAGTGAAGTGAGGCCCGCCCGGCCTCAGGGGGATGCGCGGGTAGCCCGCGCTCGCAGCCAGCCCAGCCCAGCCCAGCCCAGCCCCGGTGGTCGCCGCGGAGCTGGCGTCGGGAGGCCACAAGATGTTCAGCTGGCTGGGCACCGACGACCGTCGGCGGAAGGATCCGGAGGTGTTCCAGACGGTCAGCGACGGCCTGAAGAAGCTTTACAAGACCAAGCTGCTGCCGCTGGAAGAACACTACAAGTTCCACGAGTTCCACTCGCCCGCCCTGGAGGATGCCGACTTCGACAATAAGCCCATGGTGCTCCTCGTGGGGCAGTACTCCACTGGGAAGACCACCTTCATCAGGTAAAATCCAGCTCCCTGGGCCCTCCATCCTCGGACACTAGGGTGGGGCAAAACGTGTCTCTGCTACCTGTGCTATGCCTTGATCCCCCTCCTGTTACCCCCTTCGCGTCCCTTCAACAGCTTTTCATTGAAAAGTCACCTCCACTCAAACGCCAACCATTCCTTCGCAAGCTCAGGGTGCTGTAAGATGTCCCATGAAACACCGACGTGGCAAAAAGTAGCCCAGGGCAGGGCTGAGGAGTGCAGGCAGAGCAGGAGTGTGGAGATGTGAGTCACTGGGGCCCTCCTGGCCGTTCAAAGTGCAAAGGCTTTGGGAAGCCTCGCGCGGGGCATTCCGTGCCTGCACTGCCCTGGTTGACCCTTGTAGTAACCATCCTTTTCAATTTACTGTAGCTTTTTGAATGGTGAGGCAGCTTTAAAGGGGGTACTTCGGTTTGCAGTGGTCACTGTTATATGCTTGCCGCTGTCTTGTCTTTTTCTGCACTGTCCCAGAGATAACACTCAGAACCCACTTAGAGAAGCATGTGTGCCTGTGCACAGACAGAGCTGCTCCTCTTCAGGGCTCCAGAAGTAAAGCCCTGTTTTAACTGTGTCCTGCTCGGCCGAGATGCTGGGAGCAGCAAGTTTCTTTGAACTGTAAAGAAAGAGCAGCTGCCAGCAGCTCTTCCATTTCGATGATGTGAAACTGTCGCAGAGAGGGTTAAACTTTTCCAGCTGGACTTGGTTGCGGGAATCTCTGTTCAGCCATGCTGCTAGTTCAACTTGCAGCAGCCTTTCCCTTGGGATCATAGCTGAAGCTGCACTGCCCGTGTTTCCTATGTGATTCATAAGCTAAGCGTTAAATTCCAGCCTTTTTCTGGTGTAGCTGTGTTGAAATCTGTGGAATTACCCCAGTGTAAATCTGGATTCGAGCCACAGGGAGCCAGCCCTTTGTTTGACCAGTATTTCTTGGTGAAAGAGGGAACTGTGGAGAGTAGAGAGAGGTGGATCAAATTGACTGTACCTCTAAAGGAATGACCTTGAGAAATGCAGGGGCTTTTCTTTTTAATGTGCTGTAATATTCCTGCTGCTAAATTTCCTGGTCAGGAGCCAAGAACAGAATGAATTTCTGCTACCTTGGCATGTACCTAGCAAACAAAGTTGGAAAGTTAAAAGGCTTTTCTCATATGAGCAGGTCAGGTGGATGGTGAGAGGGTGCAAAAGACCCGAAGAAGCATTTTGCTCATGTTTGCAAAGGGAGTTAGTTACTCTTCTGAAAAAGAGAGAGGATAGCTAGCACAACTGCCTGGTTCCACCCCAGATCTTTGTTCCCTGACTTAGAACCAAGCCTGTTTGAAAAGCTTTTCCTGTCTCTGGCTTACAGACACTCAGAGCCTGAACACGAGGAATTGCTGAATTCCTGATAAGGCTTTCTAACTAAAGCATCTCTTCTTAACCCTTTTATCTGGATTGCCAGCATCATTGTTTCCCTGCAGTCTCACCTGCATGCTGTTAGCAGAGACTTCCTGCCTTTGCCCCTGTCTGTTCAGTGAATTCCTTTCTCTGTGAGCCTCAGCTCCTTTTGCAGGAAGTTTGGGTGCCTACAGCATGTTCCAGGCAAAAGAAGATTAAGTTTTTGCTATGTGGGATGGCAGCAACAACCTCTCTGCTGTCAGCAAGTGGATCTGAGCCTCTCTGACAACTGCTGTTCACTCGTGCTTGTGTTCTCCCAGTTTTCCCAGTTTTCTCCAGGCATTGGGCTGGGATGAGCCTGCACAGAGCCAATGGTCAAACAGAAGTGACCAGGAGCTTTGGGAGCTTTTGCTTCACAGGAGTGCCACACAGACCTCCCAGAAAGGCAGTCTTATTTTTAAAACAGTGCCTAAGAAGGTGAAAGTTGAGAAGTTTGGTAGAACCTCAGGATCTCTAACAGTAGAAGTGTGAGGGTCTGTTAATCCAGTGTGCTCCCAGTCAAAGGCCAGAAAACCTTGTGTTGCTCGTGACAGGCTTCCAGCATGAGCTTGCAGGCACTGCTCATTAAAAAGCCGGGATAAGCACCAGATTAGCATCCAGAGTTATTGTGGGAAGGCAAGTGGGAGCTAAAGCTGAGAGTAGGGAGGAGTTAAAGGGGGCTGGGGGGAGGAAGTGGGAGGGTTGACAACCATTATGTCTTAGCAGTAGAGTGAAGCAAGAAACAGCCTCTGGACATTCCCTCCACAGTCTTGTCAGGATGGGGGATAATTAGGGTTATCCTTGTGTATCAATTCCACTCTTAAATTGCATCCTTCTTGTGCTTCCATGCAATTTAGGGACATGACTTAATGCCACTAAACAATCATGTGGAATGAACTCAGTCCCAGTTTACCTGGATCCCAGGACACCTTACAAAAAAAAAAAAAATTAAAGACCCTTAGTCACCTACCTAAGGAATGTCTGTCTTCCAAACCTCCTTCCTTTATTTGAGGTGAAACAAGGAAGAAATGCAAGGCTTTGAAGCACCTAAGCTGCAGCATCTTGCAGTGAGGCTGCTCTCTTGTCAGGAGCCTGATGGTGGAAAAAAGGCAGTCAAGGTCAGCAGTGAGAAACATTCCTAGAGGCTGAGCCAGGGAAGAGAGAGGTGAGTTGTGTGGGTCAAAGCCAGTGAAGCGAGACCAGAGCATGGCTTGTTTTCAGTGGAACCAGGCTGTTCCCCCTTCTACTTGCAGGGACACAGAACTGAGCCTTTCTGCACTATGTGAAAGGTGTAGGTAACATTGCTAATGCAGCTTTTCCATTCCTGCTTCCTGCTGTATCATCTCTTTGTGCTCACTCCCATTTTTCTTCTCAGCATGCATTTGGCTGATGCTTTTCCACCGGGTTGGGAGCTGAAAGTCGGTGCTGTTTAGGGCAAGGCAACACCTCTACCTGGGAATATCTGACAGCCAGTGCAGGATCTCACTGGAGCCTGCCTTTATAATGCTATTGCTTTTTATGTTTCCTGTAAAAGGGTGGGAATACAGGACAGAAAATTACTCTCCTAATTAACTTAGGTTCCTTGGACATCTCTAAAAATAATCCCGGCTCAAGTCCAGCCATCCTGCTAATAAAATAAACAAGCCTGTCAGAGCCCTACTAACTGTCAACATAGCTTGCTTTTCTGGTGTAGCCACCCCTTCCTCCTACAGCTAATCATTTACACGTCCTGGCCTCTCCACACTGTTTGTCACGGGTTACACGCAGAGCTCTGGTGTCACCTCCCCGTGCGGCCCTGAACCTTTTATCTGTGCCTGCATCAGGCAGCTGTCACCATTTCCTCCTGCTCTGCCCTTCTTTCCGTTCCCGCTCGGCATCACCTCTGCTGCCACACTCAGCGGCATCCTGCAGGGCTCCTGCATGACTCATCACGGGCAGGCAGCCCCTTCCCCCACATCCTGCGGCTCTCCTGCCCAGGGAGCCCTGCCTCTCCTAACCCATCTCCAAATTCACCTGGGAAAGACCACCTCAAGCTGGGCTGGCACTAGCACAGCTTTCCTGCCCTGGCCCTTCCCAGGAACCAACCTGAAATAGGCAAACAGCATGATGCTTCCAGCCACATACTGACTCCAGACACTTCTCTAAAAAGCAGATTGGTCATAAAAAACCTATTCCCCTCCTGTGTGGTGTACTCTGCAGACTTCCCTAACCTGGCTGGAGGTTACTCCCCCAGGCCTTTGAAGGTGTTCAGCAGCTCAGCTTAAGGCTTTCCACTGGCAAAGGAAATTGCTTGCTGGTGGTTGGTGTTTTCCATAGCTATTGTTTGCTCTTCTCTCCCAGAAATCCCCACAGATGTGACAACTGCATGTGGTCTTTAGCTTGCCTCTGGTAGCCAGGGCAGGCCGTGTCACTGCTGAGCAGAAATGCCTTCCCCCCCATCAGACAGTGTCAATACAACCCCTTGTATTTGTCCTTTGTACAATGAGATTCTTGTGCAGCTGACACCCTGCTGCACAATGTACCCAAATCTCCCAGAGAGGCCTCACTGAAAATAGATGCTGAGATAGTGGGCAGTACAAATCTTCATCTCTCTGGTTTCCTATCACTTGTTGCACGTAGATTAATAACATTGGTGGG